TTGAAATGGAAAATTATGATCTAATTTAAATTCACACATTTAAGATATTAAGCGGATCCCTGCTGTGCAACAGCTTGAAGCGTGTATTCCAACACTGTCCTCAGAAAACTATTTCACGTGAGGCCAGGGCTGCTAAGAGTAAAAGGTGATTTTATTAAGTGTGATAAGACTTCCAAAGACCATGAAAAGAAATAACCCTTCCTCAAAGATCAATTGCTAACATATTTACATACAATACACAAAAGAACTGCCGAAGTAATTTAAGAAAACTTTTTTTTTCAAATTGCCCCCACAAATATCTACTGGACACATGCTACATCGCACTCACTATGCTTTATGACAGTGTTATTCTAGAAGGATTCCTGAGGTGGCCTCCACGGATCCTTCTCCTGGTGTTCACACCCTGTTGTGATTCCCCTCCCCTTGTGTGAAGGCAGAAGCTTGACTTGTTCCCAACAAACAGAATATGGCAAAGGTGATGGGATGTATGTAATTATGTGTATGTGATTGCATGGTTATGTACATAAGATTATAGTCCCGTCTCGCTGGGGTCTCTCTCCCTTGCTAGCTCCAAGGAAGCAGGCAGTCATGGTGGGATAATGAAGGCGGCTTCTTGAGGCAAAGGGGGGCTCCCAGCCAACAGCCTGTTAGGGTCTCCAGCCAGAACTCAGCAAGAAAAAGAATCCCTCGGTTCTACCACCACAAAGAATTGGATTCTGCCAACAGCCTGAGTGCACTTGGAAGCAGGTCCTTCTCCCACTGACCCTCAGATGAGGCAGCTCTGGCTTCCCGCCCGGTTGCCTTGTGAGACCTCCCCTGAGCAGAAGACACTGTTTAGCGGAGCCTAGACCCCTTATTCACAAAAACTGGGAGATGACAAATGTGTGTTGCTTCAAGCCACTAACATTGTGGTAATATTGTTACAAAGTAGTAAATAACTAGGTCCTCAGTCTTTCTTTGTCTTTCTTGACCTTGAAGTCTTGGAAGCATACAGGCCAGCTATTTTGTACAAAGTGCCTCAAACTGGGTGTGTTTGTTTGGAAATCCCTCAATCCGATCCTCAGGATTAGATTTAGATTCAGGAATAACATAGAAGTGATGTTGTGTCCTTCTCAGAATATCCTATTTAGAGGTTTATATGCTTGGTTTGTCCCACTATAAGTGATATTAAATTGATCACTTGGTTAGAAAGGTATCCATAAGTTCTCTCCATTGTAAAGATACTATTTCCCCATGATGACTAATAAAAAACTTATGAGGAGATACTCCATTCATCATCAAACTCTCACTGATTAGTTTTAGTAACCATTCATGATCCTCTTACTACATAATTCCTTTTGTATTCATTAGTTAGCATTCTACTGTAAGGAACATTCTCTTCTTTCCTATTTACTTACTTATCTAGTGATTGATTTATACCAGAGTGAAATTACAGTTTCTTATTTTAGTCAGCTGTTAAAATCTGTTACTATTACTGTATCCCAATTTTGATATTTAAGTTGCTCTAGATTTGTCCATTGGAAGCTCCCTGCAGATATATCCTCTGTCCTTCTGATATATTGCCATCTTTTCAAGCCTTTCTAATTTTCTAGCAAAACAAGATTTTCCAGGCTTATCTAATACTTTCTGTGTCCTAGACCTGGAATTTTTTCTCCACAGACTTCTGATTCCTTTTAAAGTGAAGAATGGTTTTTAGACACCAAAATCTGGGTACTAACTGTACTCATTGCTACTGGAATGTCATAGCTTCTAGTACTTCTCAGTGACAGGGCTGAAGTAGATACAGAGATATATCCAACAAAATATGTGTAAGACAAATATACTAAAAACTACATTACTGGGAGAAATTTTAAAAGACTAGAATAGATGGATAAATCCACTATGTTCATGGATTATAAGACTCATCATTATTAAGTTGTCAATTATGAAAATGTCTTAGCATCTTACAAAGCTGCAAGTCTATATATTGGCTGGGATTGTGGTCACATCTGGGGCTCGAATGGGGAAATATCGACTTCTGCACTCACACAGGTTGTTAGCAGAATTTGGTTCCTTGTATTTGTAAGACTGAGGGATCCATTCTCTTGCTGACAGGAACTCCTTGTAGGCTGTCAGCTGGAGGGTACCCACAGCACTTAGAAACTGCCTGCATTTCTTCATCATGTGGGATTTCTCCCCGTGATACAACTCACACCCACACACAAACCCACATATTTAATTTTTAACCTCCAATTCCATTTCAACACCACAATGTACCTTCTAGTCTTCCCCCTTCAATAGTGAGGAAACTGGATCCCATTATAAGTGCAAATATATTAATTTTCTCAAGCCTGGAATACACTGGAAGGTTGCAAAGGGGACAGAATATACTGTATGGGATTTGAATGAAAAAAAAAGCAGGTCAGTCACTGATATGAGGAATTCTTAATCGCAGGACACAAACTGAGGGTTGCTGGAGTGGGGGGTGGGGTGGGAGGGATGGGGTGACTGGGTAATAGACACTGGGGAGGGTATGTGCTCTGGTAAGCGCTGTGAATTGTGCAAGACTGTTGAATCTCAGATCTGTACCTCTGAAACAAATAATGCAATATATGTTAAGAAAAAAAAAAAAAAGGAAGAAGAAGAAGGTAGCAGGAGGGGAAGAATGAAGGGGGGGAAATCGGAGGGGTAGACGAACCAGACGATGGACTCTGAAAAACAAACTGAGGGTTCTAGAGGGGAGAGGGGTGGGAGGATGGGTTAGCCTGGTGATGGGTATTGAGGAGGGCACATTCTGCATGGAGCACTGGGTGTTATGCAACAAACGATGAATCATGGAACACTACGTCTAAAACTAATGATGTAATGTATGGGGATTAACATAAGAATAAAAAAATTAAAAAAAAAAAAAGCAGGTCAGGAAAGATTTCATGACTCCTGTAATTTACATTCCTTTTTTTGAGAATTTGATCATCATTGATTTATTTTTTTCTAGTTGTATGATCAAAACCTCAACAGTAGAGGTAGGTAGAAGTCAAATCATGCGGAACTTTGTAAGCCACATTAGAGAGTTTGGGTTTTATTCTACTACGATGGGAATTGGAGGCCTTTCTGTTAGGCCTCCATTGTGCATTTGTTTGTTGTAAATAGCATTAACAGCATTTTTAAAGTTATTTCCTGATAATGTTTATTATTTACTCAATCTTCAACTCATTCTAAAACAAGATTGGGGATGCTTAGGGCAATCCATACCAGTAAGTTAAAACATTAAAAAATCTATCAGATAGGGATAAAAAATAAAATGGAGCTGGGAAACAAGAGGTCAGGGTGAGGTCACCTTTAAGAACTTTAAAGTTACAGAGATTTGTTACAAATTTTATCTGAGATCTCTGGAGACTAGAACAGTTTGAAATAACTCATCCCCCAAACCACTGTGATATGCTCACTTCAAGTAACCAGCCTTCACAAGAACCCCCAATCTGCCATGTATACCACACAGAATTCAGACTCGCTAATGGCAGAATCCACGGATTGTTTTTCTTGCAGTAACTTTTCAGAAAACTCTCTGGTTTCTGATAATTTAACCCTTTCAGGTTAAGAGAAAAATGGACAGTTAGATAGTGCTTGTTTATTTAATCAAGGCAGCCAGCTGAAGCAAACAATTCAAGCCAAAAATTCACTTCATTTTTTGTAGGAAAGTATAGTTTTAAATTATAACTGACCCTCTGTTAGGAGAAAGGCATGGATTTCCACAGGGAAAAACTGAGCACTGAGGACAAAGTCTCGAGTTCACGAGCACTGTAATCACACATCAGGATCACAGAACTCGCATTTTAAAATCTGATATAATTTATTGCACATTATTTCACATTCTACTGCTTTGCTTACTTTTTGTTGGTTTGTGGTTACTTGCATACATCAGTGAAGTTTCAGAAAAACTATAATTATAGAAGGACAATTATTTAATGCAGGAAGGATAAACCATTGCATTGGCGGGTTGGAAGACATTTTTTAAAGTTCTTATATTATCAATTTAATTATGCATTTCTATGTAGTAATACTCATTCTATGAGTAATGTCTAACATTCTTGCCAAGAATAGTTTGAAAGGACTTTGTTAAAAGTATGTCAGCTAAATCACTATGGGTATATCACTGCTAATGGTGTCGTTCACACGTTGTGAAACATACAACTCCATATTTCATTCTGCCCCCAAATTAGGTCATTGCAAGATACCGTTATTAAAACTGCAAATTGCGGGACAAGGAGATGGAGATGAGAACAAAGCAAAAGGAAGACACCCATTCCTTTTTGGAAAGCATGATTGGGATAGGACAAAATAGAGTAGGAAAGCTGAGCCCTTTGAAACGGATACTTTTTTGTGGGGTGTGTGTTAATTCCATTTAAATATAAATGACTAATAAAACTTGGGCTAACCAGTCTGCTCTGTACTATCCCCGGGTAGCGTCTATGCTCTCTAACCTAATTGTACAGAGGTTCCCTTGTCTTCTGACTTCATACACAAACCATGATGATTATTTCAGTTTTACCTTTTCCTTTTCCCAGAAAATCTTGTTGCAGTCATAAAAAGGGAATGTTTGATGCAAAGACGCCTAATTTATAATTATTTGTGGTTATTAACAACATAGTAATTACGGAAATGCCTTTGTTGGAAGTTACCCACCAGGAGCCGCAAATCCGTGGCACACACCCCCGGGCTGCCTGGGCTCGGAGGAAGGTCGATCCCTGCACCTTCCAGACCCCAGCCCTGGGGAGGAAAGCGAGGCCGGTCGGTCACTGTTCACTCAGACCTGAGAAAAGTCGCCAGGGTAGCCGCACCTCTTACTTTTGGTGGAAGGTTCCCCTAACTCCAGCTTTCAGGACTTGGGATGGGCGCACACATCGCGACTCTCCCTTTCCTACTGCGGGGCACTCTGCGAACACACCCCCAGTCACCTCTGCGCGCTCCCCGGAACCCGCTCAGCCCACAGCGCACCCCAGCGGCCGAGCGGCCTCCTTCCAGCGGCGGCCACGTAGCTGCCGGCGAGCTCGCCAGTTGCCTCCGCCGCCGCCTTGGAATCTGGGGCCCCGACGGCCGGCGAGACCCCGCCTCCGCCCGACCCCGGGGAGGCCGCGCGGCTGCTGCGCCTGCCCCAGCCGCCGCACCTGGGAGCGGTGATCACCAGGAGAGGTGGGGCGTGGCAAGAGGCTGGCCGGGCGCCGGAGCAGCTTCGCCAAAAGCCAGCCGGACCGGCGCAAGGCGGAGGGGGAGGGTCTCGGGGCAGAGGCCGGCTCCTCCGAGGGAGAGACCCCAGCTGGGGTGGAAAAGGGCACAAAGCAGCTGCACAGACGCTGGGCGCGGATCATGGAGCGGGCCAGCCCCGGCTCCGGGGAGTCGAAGCTGCAGCGGGACCAGGATTCCGTGGAAGCGTGGCTGGATGATCACTGGGACTTTACCTTCTCTTACTTTGTTAGGAAAGCCACCAGGTAAGAAGAGGGCCCCTGGAAGACCCACCCGGGGCGCTGAGAGTGACCTGGGGGCTCATCTCTCTCCCTTACTGAATTTTCCTCTTCCTTTACCATTAAACGACCTCGGTTCCCAGGCCCTTTGCTTTTGAAGTAGGTCTTTGGTCCTGCTAGGGTGTAGACACCTCGACTTTATGGCTAGTACAGTCGAAAAGCCCAAGCGTGGGATTCGATCCAACTTGCTCAAAAAGTTCAATGCAAAAATGTACATGCGGACCCCCCCCCACACACACACGGCCGGCTGCCCCGATATTCCCTGAGAGCAAGATTATTTACATACATCCGCGCTCACGGGCCTTCCCCCAGCCCTTCTTTAGCCTCCTAGTCCCCCTAAATCTCCTCAGCGAAACCAAAACAGTTTTGAGCCCCTTCCCTGCGGCTCCGGAAGCACCATTTCCAACTCGGTCCCAGCAGCTCCGCTCCTCCCCCGTCCCCCCTCGCCCTGGCCCTTGGCGGGGCGGGGAAGTCGGGGTAGGGGCGAGACCACGAGGAGCCCAAAGGCAGCAACATGCCGGAATCTTCCCAGAGTAAGCGCTGTCGCCTTTTGCCCCTTTCCAGTCCCTTGCTTGGCCCGGCGCTTCCTTTCACTCTCTCTTGCTCCCAAGGCGGCGCCGCTGGAAGGGCTCCGCAGAGGGGTTCGCGGCGCGCACACAAAGGGCGCTGGGGAGGCGCGGTGGGAGCCGACAGCGGGGCGCTGACGGGTCCCGCGCAGCCCCAGCCGACCCCAGAGGCCAGCTCTTCCCGGTCGAGAGCCAAGCGCCGGGGCGGCCGCTGCCGAGGGTGGGGCGGAGGGTGCCTGTCCTTTGGGAGGTGGCTGCCCGGGGGGCAGTTGGGGCGCGCGTGGGAAACGCTCCCGGAGAGTTGGGGAGGAATTGAGGTGGAAGCCGAGGAAGGAGGGGCCGGAGCGGAGAGTGGAGGCGGGCGGATGCCCTGAAGCCTGAGGAGTTGGTGGGAAGCCGCTGGCGCGGGCAAAGGCTTCTGCACGCGGACTCCGACTGCCTCCAGGACGCGCCTCTTTGGAGAAGAGTCCCGAACCCGCCGCCGCCGCCGCCGCCGCCGCCGCCTCCAGGCAGCGGCCGTCGGGCAGCTGGCGCGGGCTGCCTTGGCCGCCAGGAAAGCGCTCTCAAGGCGGTGATGGTGGAGCGGCCGGCCGAGGCCCGGCGCTGGGCTCCCCCCCGCCGGCGGTCGGCCTCCGCTCTGCCGGGCGCTCCCCGCCAGGGGGCGGCGCAGCGCGGAGCGAGCGGGCTGCGGCGGGCGGCGGCCCGGTGGCGGGGTCGGTAAGGGAGCAGGCGTCGAGTCACCGCCTCCCCTGGGCACGTCGTCGCCCCCCGGCGCCTCCCGGAGTCCAGAGTCTGCGGAGGCCGCGTGGTCTGCACGTGGACCTTCCTATGTTTGCTGTGTTGCCCTTTGGAGACAAAACAAGGTAGTCCCTTCAGCCTCCCCCCACTTGCCACTTTACCTTGGGGGCGCCCAGCGGGGGGCGGGGGGGCAGAGGGATGCTTCATTGAAAATGGACTGTCTGATATTTTTGTCTTCCTTTATTCTCTTACGGTGTATTCCTTTGGGATTTTAGAAGGGGCTCTTTTTAAGGCAGTTTCTCCTAAACGAGTTTGTGTCGATTTCATCCCTTTCCGGGGTTTTGGACCGAGGCGATAGCTTAGGGCAAATCTTATCTCTTCTGTTTAATTACTCCGCCCTCCTTTTAAAGTCCTCTTTCCCCGCTTTGGCTGTCTTCCTTCAAAATCTGAATCTGGAGCCACCAGAGGATAAACCCTGAAAAGAAAAGTGGTTTCTTTTCAAAGGATAGTTTCCTGCGAGTTCGGGGTGAGGCACGAAGGCCATCTAGATCTGGAACTATTGATTGTTGTGGGCCCCCAGTTTTCAAAGGTCACCTGCTACTCCGAGGCCATCTGTCCCTAGTTTCCTTTCACCCCTGCACACTTCCACTTTTCTGCCCCCATTGAATGGGGAGCGGGCAGGAGAGCTGGGCTGATTTTTTTCAGTGTGTCAGGCTGTTCTTTGGAGATGTTCTGTAGGCAGATTATTAGTAGTTGAAAGAAAAAAGTGATTTGTCTTACAAGTCAACATCAGTGTCCTCTTCTTTTTTTCCTTCTCTCCCTTTAAAGACAGAAACTTAGGATAGTTTGGTGATCTTTTTAAGTAGTCATACATAAGAACACTTCACTCAGAGCCTGCCAAATCTTTGAAAGTAACATTTTATTGGAAGTTAAATGGAAGGGGTTACATTTAATTTTCTTTTCACATTACTTTTTCTCCCAAGTAGCACAGGATTACAGTCCTCATTTCTCAAAGTTACACTTTTCTGTGTAAAATTCAGATCATCTGAAACTCTGTATAAAGACTTTTTTAGTTACGGTTTTTATATTATAGCTGATGTTGACAATAGGCTGACCACTTTCTATGACATGTATGTGTATATATATTCTTATATATTTCTAAGAGTTTATGTTGAGTAAAACGTGGAAAACGAAAGTGTAAAATATTTAAGAGTAGTACAGGCCCTCCTTAAGTATAAAGTGCTGAAAGTTGTCAGTTTAAAGAATACGACCTAAGAGCTTGTGTGTAGTCAGAGGTTCCTGTTTGGGCTTATATTTGGTGGCATTAACTAGAGATTTAAGATTGAGAGATTAGACAGTAGTTGATTATAAAAATTCCAAACTTCTAAACCCAGTGTGATTCATATGGTTGTGGTAAAAACTTATTGCAGACATTTTAACTTTATAGCTAGGATTTTTTTTTTTTCTTTTAACTAGAAGCTGTTACTCTGCTTTTATCCTTTTTGTTACACTCTGTAAGTGTAAAATGAGTACTGTGTGTGATTCAGGACCCCATGAGACAGTTCTGTAGAAACATTTAACATGTTTTTAAATTTAAAATAAATTTGGATTCACTTAGATTGGCCATCTGTGCCGGTAAACAGGCATGTTGATGGAACTACTTCCATGCATGACATTCATGCATGCTTTTTTATCCTATTCCCAAACTGAATGATCTGTACTCAGTAGTAGTCACTGAACAGAATGAAGGTTTCTGGCATCCCTAAATTCTCATTTAAATACCCGTGAATTTTGGTTGACCTTGAAAGCAGTTCCGCTGCTATATTACATTGTTTCCTATAACTATCTTCAAATACAGAGCTAAGCACCTAGTTCAAAGCTACAAGCTTGGAGCATAGATGCTTTTTAGTAATCACAGCCTGTTGATGTGAATTTGAGTGTCAGTTGAACAATTCATAACATAATCTATTGGCATAAAAATTAACTGGAGACTAGTAAACTACAACATACGGAAACTCCCACCCTCACCATTCTAGACAACTTTGCAGTTCTACCCGCCTGAGATACTACTGTGTTAATTAAGGGCTCTAATCTTCATGCTTTTGCAAATGAAGGCTTCCGGGTGCTAATGCCACTTTAACAGCTGTTGTTATTCTTGACAGCATATTAAAATAATGTTACCTTTCATTAGTTACTAATCATTTCTGCCATTGTGGGTTATGTTTTAGATCATTTAGTATTGTAGGGGTAACGTGATTGACTTCTTATTGCTTTGTTTTGTACTAGGCAAAAGCTTGAGAATATTTGACATATAATGGAAATAGGAGTTACTAATGAGGACCAGTTTTTATGACCGCTTGGATCAAAGTCCAGAAACCGAAGTTTTACACTTCCATGTAACTTTCTATGAGAGACTTTTTACTTGACACTGCAAAACTGTGCTGAATTAGTTGACATTCTGGGTCCTGTGTTTGAGACTTTTTTCTTTTCTCTTTTCTTTCTTTCATATTTTTTTCTTATCTCTAAAAGCTGTAACATTTTTATTGGCAAGATATTTGTATTAAAATCAGATGATGGATATAAAATAAATATTGCCATCCACTTTTTAAGAACACTGTTTCTGTAATTACATAGGAATATAGTTTTCAATTTTCAAACAAATGATTTGTTAAGCATATTTTATTAAGCTGTCAGTAGTGTTGAAGATAATAAAACCCTGTGGTTATTGACTCAGTGTGACTTTAATATTATTTATAATATTTTTTATGATGGTAATTCTGATGCAGGAATGACCTTTTCTTTTTGTATTGTTTATAAACAGGGTTCGTATGGTCAGCTTTAAGCTGCTTTTTTAGTGCCCTGAAAGTATTCATGTGTATCAGATTCTTTCCTCCTAAAAGAAGCTGTAGGAGCCCTTATAATGATGTTTCTCATTGCCCTTCTATCGCTAGTGTTCTCAGGGTTTCAAATTCAGATCCATTTTAGAGTCTGCAATGCAAGGTCATGATTCCTAACAATGTGGTAGAATTAATGCAGTGGCAATTATTCATAGTTGCATATCTCAAAATAAATCTATTTGCTTAGCTAACAAAAACTTAAGTAGGCATATAGTACAATTCAGTAGCTTTTTTTCAGATCTGTGAAAATGGCTGATATTTTCATAAGATCATGTTTTCAACACCTCAAGGTGTACAATTTTTAGCATTTTGAATATGGTGTGCAACAAAATTTTCTTTTAAAGTAATTCCACCTAAATATTTAAGTATTTAAAATATCTGAAACTGACCCTCCCCCCTCTCATGTGCTCTCTCTCATTCTCTCTCTCTCAAATAAATAAATTCTTTTTTTTTTTTTTTTTAAGATTTTTATCCATTTATTTGACAGAGAGAGACAATGAGAGAGGAAACACAAGCAGGGGGAGTGGGACAGGGAGAAGCAGGCCCCCCGCAGAGCAGGGAGCCCGATGCGGGGCTCGATCCCAAGACCCTGGGACCACGACCTGAGCTGAAGGCAGACGCCCAACGACTGAGCCACCCAGGCGCCCCAATAAATAAAATCTTAAAAAAAAAAACCCAAACAAGGTTTTGGCGTCTTCTTCCCTCAGGCCGGTCTAGTAGACCACAACTACACAGGCCCAGCCGGGACCCTGCGGAGCTTGACCACCCAGAACTGGGCGACCACGCCTACCCCCTGCGCCTGCGGACAGGCCAGCTCCGAAAAGCGCCCAGAGGACCTGCAGGCCCCGCCCCACGGGGCGGGGCCTAGAGGCTCATCGCGCCTGCGCCGAGGCCCGAGCGCGTGTTGCGCCGTTACTTTTGAAACGAGTGGCGGGGAACTGCTGTGGGCGTCTCTGCTGTCGCTCTCTGCCGGGGGAAGCGCACTCCTTCGTCTGTAGGACTGGCCATGGCGCTGCAGCTCTCCCGGGAGCAAGGCATCACCCTGCGCGGGAGCGCCGAAATCGTGGCCGAGTTCTTCTGTAAGTCGTCCTCGCGCAGGCCGGAGGGCGGGGTGAACTGAGGCCAGGCCGCCCGGTAGGCCCGGGGCTCAGCCGCGGAGGCGGGGGAAGCGGGAGGGGGTGGAGGGGAGGCCGCGAGGCCGCGAATTAAGCTCTCTCTGCCCCAGCCTCCTGCCCGGCGGGAGAATCTAGGAAGAAGCGGATGCAGACGCCGCCTCCGGGCTCCTTGCTAATGGTGGAGCTTGAGGCCTAGGTGCTGCTGAGGCCTGCGGCGCGATGTAGCCCCTCCACCTGCAGCGTTGCTTTCAACTACAGAGCCAGGCACTTTCCGCCCGCCCCCAGCCTCCGCGACTTCAGACGGAGTAGGACCGGGGTGGGGGCCACGTATATTTTTAACAACCCCTCGGCCCCTCTTTGATTCTGGTATTGGCGGTGATGGACTAGAGTTAGGAAACGCCATTCCGGACCAGGACAGTTGTGCCTTCTGATAGGATCTGGCAGGACTTGTGAGGAGAAAAGGAGGAAAAAGAGGGAAAGGTTTGCTGAGAGCATTGCAGAGAACAGTTAATCAGTTGCTAACTGAGATGCAAAAGCCTATTTTGACACCCTCTAACCACATAATCTGAATTGGGACTTGGATTACAGTGAGTTGTAGTACTACTTTGACAGTAGATTAATGCAGTTTGGCGTTTTTCTCTTTTTTTGCCACAGAAATGCAGGTATCGTGTTCTCTCTTAATTAGAAGCAAGGTTTTAAGAATGTTTAATGCCACTTTTTAGGAATACTTTTATTACAGCCCATCAGGGGCTGTAACTTTAACCTACGAATTGGTGTGGGAGGGAGACACAATTCAATCTATGGCAAGCAGCAATAGTTCAGCTCTCCCCACCGCGGCGTGCACTGACGCACGCGCGCACGCACGCACGCATTCCCGCGCACGCACGCACGCATTCCCGCGCACGCACGCACGCATTCTCGCGCACGCACGCACTCACAAGGCGCGGCCCCGGGAAAGGGGACTAGAGTTTATGTGTCCTACCATCAGCAACGGGGAAGCTGTGTAGGCCCCTCTCTTCCTTCTCCAGGCCTTACAGGGGTCCTAGCCTGCTGCAAGGGGTAAGTTAAAGGGGTTTATGGAAGATCTTGCGGCACACTGGGCAACACTCCATCTGGTCAGCCATCAAAAGAGTTCTAAAGATCATTGAGTAAAAAATATATTCACTGGACATAGATTGGAAAAACAGCCAGTCTGCTTAGTCCCTGGGCCCAAGACATGGACAGTATTTGGAGGCAAGAGTACAACATAAGGAAATCATCAGAAGCACAGGCAAAGAATTATGTACCAGGATGTTCATAGAAGCATTATTTAAAGTTGCAGAACAACCAAAAAAAAAACCTGGACTCAAACCAAATAGCCCAAAATGTGGGATAGTTAAATAAGATGGACTATTAAACAGACATTAAATATTATGTTTTCAAAATATATTTAATTAAATGGAAAAATACCAGATACTGTAAAGTTAAAAAACATGCACAGCCGTATATATAGTATGTTTTAAATCAGTGTCAAAAGTGCTACGTTCAAAATGAGCCGAGACTTGTGAAAAATACTTAGGACAATATAAAATACTCTTCCATCATATTTTAGGCAATGAGAAAAGACAAGGCAGGAAAAGAACCGTACTGCTTGGGGAAGAGAGCAATTTGCTAACAAACATTAGAATTTCTTTTTCTCCAGCCAGGAAAATGATCTTCAAATTCTACAAATAGAATATGCAAAGAAAACGTAAATTTCAACACCAAATGGTGAAGAAAGCTAGTAGTCCATAGTTTAGATAAAGATAAAAATCCTGTGTTTGTGTACCATCACATCTATGACACTGGGCACATTGGCACATAATACCATCTCAGTTAAACTTGTGACAAACAACTAAGTATAAGAATGAATACAATGAATACGCACTGAGAAGTATTCAAAATGGTGGTTATCAGTAGCTTAGAAGTGGGAGATATGCAAAGATAATTGATTAAAGGGTATAAGCTTCCAGTTACAGGATTAGCAAGTTCAGGGGCACCTGAGTGGCTCAGTGGGTTAAGCATTTGCCTTTGGCTCAGGTCATGATCCCGGGGTCCCGGCATTGGGCTCCCTGCTCAGTGGGGAGCCTGCCAGGGAGCCTGCTTCTCCCTCCCTCCTCGCTCTTGCTCTCTCTCGCTATCTCTGTCTCTCTCAAATAAAAAAATAAAATTTTGAAAAAAACTAAGATTAACAAGTTCTGGGGCTCTAATGTATAACATGGTGATTACAGCTAATAATACTTTGTATTATATATGTTTATTTATATTTATATTATTATAGCTAATAATACACTTTAAAGTTGGTAAAAGAGTAACTCTTAAATGTTCTCACTACAAAAAAGAAATGGTATTTATGTGACAGGACAGAGGAGTTAGCCATAGGATTATGACTTAGTCATAATCATTTTGTAATACACAAGTTTATTAAATCAACACCCTGTATACCTTAAACTTACACAATGTTATATGTCAATTCCCTCTCAATAAAGTGGGGTAAAATTTTTTAAATATATATTTTTTAAAGTATCAAGGACTTCAAAAAAATTCAGTGATATATCGAGTTGCTCAAAAAATGTCCAGGTATGTCCTCAGTATTTGTAGATAAATTTCAAAACATCAACGAATCTCTTGAACGGTTTCAGAAGAGTGTGTAGAGATTTTCCAATAATTTATCCTGGAAATGAAAATTGATGTATTCGATACATTCAATCCTAAAGACCAAGGAGATGTTAGAGCAGATTGCCATACAGGTGATTGATCAGAAGGGATTGTCGTGCTTAATGTCAAAACAATTATATATCCTTTTATCCATATGTGACCCAACAGAACTCAGCCTCTGCTGGTAATTGTCTTTCATTATTTGGTTAAAAATTTTTTTTTTAACAAAAATAGGGAACCACTGGAGATTTTTGAACAGGGAAACACCTCTCATTGATAAAGATCAGTCAGTTCTGTACCTAATACACTGGAAATTGAAGAGACTGGAGGCCTAAAGATCAAGCATATGACAAACTAGAATATTCTAGGTAAAAGCAGTAATAGGGTAAGAAATACAAAGTAAAAGTCAAAAGGGTGTTAATAGTAGAGACATAAAGAGAAAAGCAGCAGTACAACTGACCTAGCTGGAAGATGGAAACAGAAAAAATCAGAGACTATGCCAAGATTTCAAAATTGGATGGCTAAGTGAATAGTTGTGCCATGACTAGAAAGAAGAAAGTCGTGTTTCCTAACTTAGAGTGAGGTGATGCTTAATTCGATTATTACTCATTATACGTTGGAACTCTCAAATAGCGCATTGAGATTATGGACCCGGCCCTCTGGAGAAAAGTATATGCAGTCCTGCGCCTACACCGTGACCGAACCCGGGAGGTGGGGGTGTGGGGGTGGGGGGGCGCCGAGGTTGTGCACATAGCCTGCTGGGCCAGGTGGAGCACGCCATCTGCTGTAACTGATATTCGCAAAAATGAGTCCCCGTGTTCTACGAAAAAGAAGTTCATTGAGTTTTGAGTGTAGTCCACGTCCACTAACTGCTTCCTCTTATTCCATTCTTTACTGTGTGCTGAAGACCCATCAACGAATAAAGCAGTCTCTTGAGATTGCCACGAAGCACAAAATTTTAGAGATTTTTTTCAGTATTCTCTATATAAGAATAACAGTGTGTTGTAGAAATATTTCTATCAGAAATAGTAAAAAAAAAAATAGGCTTGTCATTTAAATGCATATTCTTCGGATATCTGGGAAGTGTACTGGCATGGAACAAACTTTTCTTGAGCAATGCTGGGAAAATGAGGTGTTGCTGTATTGGGTTAGTGATATTAAATCAGGGATTATATGTAGACAGTGAAGGGATTGAGAAGTAATTTTGGTTTCCTTTTCAGAACGGGGGGATCAGAGAGATTTTTTTTTTTAATAATAATCATCAAGTACGGTAATGGCAAACACTCTGAAAATATTAAGTGTTGCAAGCAATTTATTATGTCTATTACATTCTCAGAAAGACAGTCAATATTGCAATCTTAAATATAAACTTGCAGAGTGCTAAATCCTCTTCCAAACTAAACTTCAAAACCCTCAGCGATGATTGTCTATAATAAACAAGGCAGAGTAGTTTACTTATGGCCCAAAGTTAGACTTTGAAGTTCACTTTTAAAGAACGTATTTGATAGTAGTTCTCCAAAAGAATGTTAATTACGAAAATGAAAGGATGGATTAAGTCCTGTAAAATTTTATTTTTCAAAGAAATGCTTCAATGCCTCCTTTGATATATGACTCATTTCACCACTTTAAAAGGCATAGCAACAGTAAAAACTTCTTTAAAATTAGCAAATCAAAAATTCTAAAATCTCATGATCTGTGTTCACCTCAAAATCATAATACCATAATGATTGCAAGGATGACATTATTGTATGTACCACAAAGAAAGGAATAAAAACAAAGCTACACAAGTTATAACACGTGTTTTTTGTAGCTCAGAACTTTCACTACATACTTACTGAAAGAGCTTTATAATACCTACTGAGGTATAGGTTTTTATCTTATGCCCTGCTTGAATCTATATAAAAATGAAACTGTAAGAGGGGCGCCTGGGTGGCTCAGTCAGTTAAGCATCCGGAGGACTCTTGGTTTGGGCTCAGGTCATGGTCTGGGGCTCATGGGATCCAGCCCCAGATTGAGCTCCAGGCTCAGGCAGGAGTCTGCTTGTCCCTCTCCCTACCCTTGCCCCTCCCCCTGCTCCCTGTTCACGTGCATGTGTGCTCGAGCTCTCTCAAATAAATAAATAAAATCTTAGAAAAACAATAAAGTATAAGCAAAACAAATCGGTTAGGGTATTCCTAAAGCTTACTCCCATCCCAAATCCAGTATTTCCAAACATGTTCAACTCAGAGTCATGGATGACCATGTTTCCCACACAATACTATCATCTATGCTATCAAGAGTGCTGGTCCTACAGTATCGTCTCTGCAATTTTATTCCAAGTTGCTGATATTCATACTGTAAGTTTTTATGCACGTGGACTAGCAATGACAAGGACATCAGAACCACAAGACACAACCTGTTTCCAGAAATGTGAAAATGTAAAAAGAAATGTAAATGTTAGAATCTTTGAAATATGATGTATCTTAAGAGCTAAGATATAGTAAAGAAATTTGATTTACAGCTCTAATTTCTGACCCCCTCCCCTCATGGAAGTAGAGTTGATACACGGTTCCATTAGTTTCAGGTGTACGACCCAGGGATTCAGTGACTCTACACCTGGTGCTGTGCTCACCATTCAGCTCTAATTTCTTACAGGCTCTTGGACTTTCTTCGCTGTTCACCAGAAACTGTAAATCTGACATTTGCAAAGTGTTAACCTACTCTAAAGGGTGAATTTGGAACTTTAAAAAGGAAAGCAGTGGCCTTTCTACTGCTTCAGTGATGTCAGCACCAACAAAGGTAGCAGCCCCGGCATCCTCACCAGCTAAGGCAAAACCATCTATTTGGACTTACGTCTTCGGACCTGTTAAATTTATGTAGAACTGAACTCATCCTATCCCCACATTCCCAAGATTTTTAAAACAAACAAACAAGCAAAGTCCTTGCTTCTCGGAGGTTATAAGTAAATCTAAGGGAAATGGTGTTTTCTGTTGGGGTTGTTTGTTTGTTTGTTTGTTTTGAGAAAACATTGTCATCTTATTTCAAGTTATAGACTGACTTCTAGAAATGAGATTCAAATTTTTTGAGGCTATAAACACCGAGCCAAGCAATACTCTTGAAGTAAACATCCTAGAAGTCAGACTAGTATGATACATATGATTAAGGCATTGCTGTGCTCACTTTTGCAAGTTTATACTTAAACCAGAGAAAATCAGCTACAAGATGAATCTAAACAAATAGTATGCCGGAATATATTATGTACACTGAAATTTTAGTTTTTTAGCGTTCATAGCGGTAATGACTCAGATCAGCTTTGATATTTTTTTTTTCAAACTTACCAAATATCCCAGAAAGTAAAAACACAGAAATAGCAAAATATTTTTTAGAATTTAAATGTAAAATGTTTTTAAATGCTAAATTCTGATCTGTTTGCCACTGGGAAAATCACATACTTTGCAACTAGATTCTGAGAAAGGGGGATTAGGAAAAAAAGTAAAGAGCGAACGATATGTTTTACTAGACATTTTCTTCATGTATGTTTATTACTTCTTTAAGAAACATAAGTTTTATCAATCTTTAGTTAAAAGCATGAAAGAAAAGCAATCTAAAATGGGTCAACTGAAAAAATATATATAACAACGAAACGCTAAAAATGAAATTACATTAGCATGTACCTGTATTTCAAATAGGAAAGTAGATTTAGCTTGAGATGATATTCAAAATCTGTAAGTGCTGGGCACAGACACCAATCAATGAGAATGGCACTGCTCTCAATGGCCGGAACAACCATATATATTATCAACTGGATACCAAGCCAGCAAGTCAGCCTGTGATGTGCTCCACCAATTGCTCAACATCCCAATATATGGGAGAAATAAATGCAAGATGTCTACTACTTTTTGTTTGTTTTACTTACTAGAAGATTTTTGCATTTTCTTGGATCAGTTAATGTGGGGGAAAATGTTTAGAAAACAATGTGCACATTTTCCATTGATAGGCAAGAGATGATAGAGATATGGTGGCCAGTTACTCGAATTACTAGAGATGACAGGACCATCCAACAGAGGGAGGGAAGAAAAGGAATTCAGAAAAATGACAACAGAGAAGAAAGATGGCTAATGAGAAATTTCTAGTAGCCAACATGGCGAGAGGACTTTTAGGAACTACTGTCCTGATTTAATTTGCTTTTTTAATTCTTTCTGTGTTTAATCCTCCTGTATTAACCATGAAACCTATGCTACTTACATAAATACCCTTGTTGTAGTATAGCTTGGGGAAACTAAAAACCCAAGGCTGAGTCCTATACTTAGGAAAGAAGAGAAAAAGAAAGAAAGAAAGAAAGAAGAAAGAAAGAAGAAAGAAAAAGGAAAGAAGCAGAGTAGGAAAAGGACAGAACCTAAGGAAAATTACAAATAGGAATTGAGAAATATACAAGAGTAGTAATTTAGAGCAGGCTGGAAATCATCCCACCCTAACCAAGAATTAATAGAAATACCGAGTAAGGCAATAGGCCTCTCACAATACTTAAAATGGGAGTTCATCTATTACATTTGGACATAGAAAAAAACTGTAGGTAATATCAAAAAGCTGGAGTACATGGGACATCTTTGCTTCACTATATAACACTTTACCATATAATAATGGTTGTCATTAGTTTCTTACTTCCCATGTGTCAAAGAACCTAAAAGCTATTTTAGAATAAGTAGATTTATGGCTTATTTTGTATTTATATCTTTGACTCAATGTTTTCTACTATGTTTCATCATTTCACAATATGAAATATTTCCATCAAAAAAACAAAAAAAAACAAAAAAAAACCCCAAAAAACCCTCCTCTCTCATCCTAAAAATACACCCAAATCAATCAGTGTTATTCTCACTCAAATGCATAGATAGGCTGTCACGTACTTACGGACCGCTTGGATGGAAATACAAAAAAGGAACATTTTTAATGTCAGTTAAGAATAATCACTCGTATGGACCATAACTGACACTGAAACCAGTTTCTTCGTCAATGTTTGTGTAGGAGATGGCTTGGAAATGGACCAACTTTTTAAGGCCCACCTGTGTCAAATTGGTCTAGAGGTAAGGATCATGCGATGCAGATAACATTTTTATTTACTTCTTGGAATTCTATTCTACGTCTAAATACTTGACATAAAAAATCCTAGAATATTGCAATTTAGAATATTTGAGTGAAGTAAGCAAGTTAGACAAAACAAAAGGTTGAAGAACATTATGAATCCCCACATCAGATAAGATCCTTGATTTTTGTGAGGTGATATACTTGCCAGTAAAATAGCATTAGGTAGAACAAATAAAGAACAGAACAAATAAATGGAACAAAGTTGAAGAGTTGAAGAATCCTAAGTATAACTCCAATCACTGCTGTTTCAGAGGACGAGCAATAAACTTCTCAAGAGAGAAAATAAAGTAGATTTTGGTTTCTATGTGGGTATTAACAACTTGGCATCCACGAAAAAGTGATATATACTCATAGGGAGGCACTTGATTTTCAACTAATCCTAAAACAATTCAATTTAGCAAAACTCTACTGGTAAAGGCCATTTTACAATTGATTTTTTGTGTGTTGATTTTGTGTCTTACAAACTTGCAAAATTCACTTATTAGTTTGAATAAGTTTTTGCAGATTCAATTGGATTTTCTACAGAGACGATCTTGCCATCTGTCAATAAAGATAGTTGTACTTCTTCCTTTCCAATCTGTAGGCCTTTGGATTTTGAGGGAGTACAATATTGAATATAAGTGGTGAAAGCATACAACCTTCACTTGTTCCTGGTCTTAGAGAGGAAAATACTCAGTCTTTCATCATGGAGTATAATTTTAAATAAGGTTTTTTATAATTCTTTAGCAGGCTCAGGAAGTTCTCTTTTAATCCTAGCTTTCTGAAAGATTTTAACAAGGAATGGATGTTGGATTTTGTCAAATGCTTTTTCTGCATATATTTGAGCTTATCATTGGGTATTAAATTGATAGATTTTTCAAATATTAAACTATCCTTGCATTCCTGGGTTTATCTTGGTCATGACATATTATCACTTCTGTATACTGCTGTAATAGATTTTTTTATTATGTTAATCACCATACATTACATCATTAGTTTTTGATGTAGTGTTCCATGATTCATTGTTTGCTGTAATTGATTTTTAAAAATTTTCTTTGATAGTTTATGTCTTTCAAGAAATTTGTCTATACCAATTAAGTTACCTTAATTATTAACATGAAATTATACATAATATTCCCCTATTATCTTTCTTTTTTTAGATCAAAATGACATATAACATTGTATTAGTTCTAAGTATACAACATAATGAAAAAAAAATAATTAAAAAAAATAAATAAATAAGTATACAACATAATGATTTGATATATGTATATATTGTAAAATGATCACCACAATAAGTTTAATTAACATTCATCACTGTACCTAGGTACAATTTTTCTCTTAGGATGAAAACTTTTAAGATTTACTACTCTCTTAGCAACTTTCAAATATACAGTATAATAGTGTTAACTATAGTAACCGTCCTGTACATTACATCCCCAGGGCTTATTTATCTTATAACTGGAAGTTTAGATCTTTTGACCTCTTTCAACCATTTTTTCTATACCCCACCTGCACCCTCAACATCTGACAACCACCAATCTGTTCTATGTACTTATGGATTTAATTTTTTTATTTTTTTAATTCCCCATCTAAGTGAAATCATACAGTATATGTCTTTCCCTGTTGGACTTATTTCATTTAGCATAATGCCCTCATGGTCATCTATGTTGTTGCAGATGGCAAGATTTCATTCTTTTATATAGTTCAGTAATATTCCATTATATATATAGTGTGTGTGTGTAATATAATGAATGTAAAGTACATATATATACCACATCTTCTTTATTCACCCATCGATAGATACTTAGGAAATGTTCATGTCTTAGCTATTGTAAATAATGCTGCAATGAACATGGAGGTACATCAATCTTTTCAAGTTAGTGTTTCATTTCCTTTCGATATATACCCAGAAGTAGAATTGCTGGATCATAGAGTAGTTCTATTTTCAATATTTTGAAGAACTTCCACACTGTTTTCCAAAATGGCTGCACTAATTTATATTCCCACCAAGAGCGCATGAGGGTTCCCTTTCTCCACATCCTTGCTAGCACTTGTTATTTCATGTCCTTTTGATAACAGCCATTCTAACAAGTGTGAGGTCATTGTGGTTTTGGTTCACATCCCTCATTATTAATGATGTTGAACACCTTTGCATGTATCTGTTGGCCATTTGTATGTCTTCTTCCCTAATTATCTTTTTAAATATTTGTATAATCTGTGGTGATGGCACCTCTCTTTTTCCTGACACTTGCAATATGTGTCTCCTCTCTTTTTTTTCCTGACCAGTCTGACAAGACTGCCCCATAGCAGTTTGAAACCTCAATACCGCTATCAGACTGGCCTCTGCAGATCTAATGATCTATCACTGACAGCTGAATTTCCTCAACCTACAGCCTCCTTCATCACCAACCAAACCCAGGGCCCAGTGAGTGAGGAATAAGTCTGGGGTGTTCATGTAGCCAGATCCTGTTGGCCTAATCCATTAGACTGAGTGTCTGGCTCTATCTCCCTCTCTACATTCTGCCAAAATAACTGGCCTAGAATTCCAGCCCCCATGTTTACCCTATTTCATACCACCCCACACACAAACTGTAGAATTGGGATTCTGCCTTGAACCTCAATAAATAACAAGAGGTCCCTAGTCTTTTGCCTCAATTATGATAAGCCCTTTTCTTTACCTGATTAGTATACTCTGAATTTGTCCACCAATGGCAGGGGATCTGGAGATTTGTGGAGACATGCACCCTGTTTTTCCTGACTTCCAAAATTGCTATTTAATATTCTTTATTGCTGTTCTCCAGCAGAAAGAATGATTCCTGTTACTATAATTTCCCATTTGTTACTTAGGCTTATGCCTTTCCATGGACCAAACTATATACATGGGAGTCAGCTTGCCAAGGCTGTTTCATCTACACTATTTCCTCCTTTTCCTTTCTGATGGAACATCACTCTCATCCCAGGATATCTCAAACTTAACGCCCATCCAAATTTAATATGACGATCATCCTGCCATTTAGGAATACTTTTTATTAACATCAATACATACTGAATAAAGTCCAAACAACTTGCTCCAAATTGAAGTTTCTCAGCAATCTGGTCTCAAGTTTCCTTTTTCAATTATCTATTACTATCCAACAAAGCTGGTCGTTGAGCTGTCCCTGAAATATTCTTGACTTCTCCCCACCTTTGGGGCTTCAGCTGACAATTTTTCCTTGAGCAAGCATAACCAACTACCTTCCTTCCTTGTATTAAAATTATATTCCTATTTCAAGGCCAAATTTAAATCCTACCTTCCCTCCCAAATGATTGGTTTAAGGGTATCCTCCCAGGCTGAGATAGAAGAACAGAATGATAAGTAATAGAAGCTACACTAGAAGAAAGTTTCCCAAGGAAGGGACCTCAAACATCATAGACTATAGGCCTTTTGAGAGCCAAGCCATAAAGAACATATCCTTATCCTTTGTCCAAGAGGCCTTGTGGACTTTTCTTCTTTATCAGACAAGAAATAGCTTCTAGTATGGCCAAAAAGCATTGTTTATATTACCCTAAACTCCCTTTTTAATGAGTGATGTCAAGATCAGAAGCAGCGCAAATGAAAATGGCATAAAGACACAGCCTGTCACTTTTAGAAGTGTTAATGAATGCCCTGTGGATTTTTTTTTTTTTTTTAACTTCATGAGAACAGACAAGGAAATGTCTCCATAAAACTGTCGATTCTCAGGGAAACGTGTTAATGTTATGTAAATTAAAATTTGAAAGTCTACTTAA